ATCCTCTTAGCGCTTCCTTTCACGCCACGTGCAACGGCGTCGATGATGGACTCCTGCTTGCTCAAGATGGTTGACAGTGTGCTCGTCGATACGCCAAAGTCTCTTGCCACGTTGCCTTTCTTGGTCCCCGATTCGACGGCTCTTATCATAGCCGCCTTCTGATCTAGCGTTATGCGCTTTCGCTTCCCGCCTGGCGCATTTATGTTGCTGGAATCACGAGCGCAGCACGATAAAAGAAAAGGCGGAAGCGGTCGAAAAAGAGAAGAAACACGCACGCAAAAGCAACACGGCTCACGTCGGCGAGCGACAACACTTGCAGAGAAAGTGACTGTGAAGAGGAAGGGGCGCTCTTTTGCGCTGCCCTCTAGGAACCGGTTACTCAAGGGGAAGGTGGTATGTAAGATTAGGAAGCGTGCCTCAGGGCCATGAGAAAGGGGAGAGGGAGAATATAAAGAAGACACAAAAGAAAAGAAAAGGGCGAGACGTTCGTGGAGCGCTCCGCTGTCGGTGGTAGCCAAGCGGCGTACGTGCAGCGAACTCTCCTCCGGGAACAGCGCGTGCCGTCTGCTTTGCGCGCGTTGCTGGAGGGTGCGTGGCGGGAGTTTTGAACTGCTAAATACAGTTCTCGCGTTGCGCGCCGTCTCAAATTCGCGTTGTGCATCGCTCAAAATTTTACTTCCTAACAAAATATCCCATAACAGGCAAATTTTGCCTCGTTAAAACGAGGTTTTGAATACATTGGTTTGTATGGGGACTTTCAAGGGGAATTAGGATTTGCTCGTTATATCCATTATTTAATTATAGCCCGTCTCGTTATAACGAGGTTTAACTGTACACGAACGGTTGTCCCAGCCACCGCGAATGATACGAATGTGCGATTGACCACTGAATGCAAGCAGTGCAAAGCAACATGTCTGCGGGAAAAAGGCTTGTTCACTCTTGGTCTCAAAGGGAGTGAATGCGGCAAAACTCGCTGGAATTTCCCTTGCAGACCGACGCGAAAAAAATCAGTGTGACACGAATTTTCGCGCCACACGATATTAGATTGCCTTTTTGTTTCATGGCTTTGGCTACACTGGCTCCTTTAGCTTTCAAACCACCTGATGTAAACAACCAGCCGCAAATTCAACAAGGCGACAAAGGTGTCAGCGGTGGATCGCGTCAGCGGTGGATCACATCGGCGCTATCCTGAACTACCCATGCAGCACGTCAAAGCTCACGACCTTGACAAGGACGTGTTCATAGAGAGCCTGGTTTGGATTACCATCGCCGAGAACACCGGAAGTAGAAAAAGGTGCAGCAGCAGCGAGTCGGCATGCCCTAACGTGTCTCGCTTTTGGACTGCCAGCCCAATCCATCACGGCCGCTGCTGGTGTGTCCGCTCGTGTCGTTTCTGTTGGCATATCTTCCGAAACAACGTTTGTAAAGGTGTAAACTGTTTCTGTTCAGTGCTTTGCATGCATAACTTGTTACAATGTTGGTTCAAATGCAGTGCCCCCCCACGGCGCTGATAGTTGTGTTGAGCTGTGCAAGCCTGGCACAGCGGCAGGGTGGCCGTTTTGGAAACAATAAAACACAGTTCGTTCTGGGCTAAGGGCCCAACATGTTCTCGTGTTCTTCGCGGGCCTGATGGCCTATTGTTCATGGTAGTCACTACCACCTGGCCATCAGCTAATCTACACATGTGACATAATTAGAACTCACTACAAATTTTAATGCCCAAGAAAAGGCGAAATGGAATGAACTCAAGCGACGGTGGCAGTGGTGGCGGTGGCATGCACGAGGGGCAGAACGAATGAGAACGTTTTCGACGGGAGCCGGCGTGGTTTTTCGGCCGCTCTGGCGTTTTCACTTGAATTCTCCACCACAATGAGAGTGTGAACTACGCAGGGCGGTTTTTTTGGCCGCTTAAGCAGCGAAGCAAGTGAGTTCCCAATGAGTTTGGATGCTTTCGTTCCCTTTGATGCCAAGTATGAACGCGCTACGCCAGCTGCTTGAGCGAGAAAAGCGCGGCAGTTCATTGAGAGACAATGAAGGCAGGAAAGTTCAAAAGAATATCATGGACTTTTTTTTTTCGGCAAGAAGCAGTTGCCAATAAAGTTCTTGTCCACCTCCATTATCAGCTTTAACTTGTTTTTGGTTCATACGAATTCGGTATGATACGAACATTTTGCGTGCTCCCTTCTATTTCGTATCATACAGATTATACTGAATTCAGGTTTCAGCTCTATAACAGATAATAATGCACATATGCCCACAATCTGCTTTTTCTCACAGAGTTTCATAAAATAACCTTGAGCAGAAACTGGAGCTACAATCATTGCAGCATCTTGCGAATGATAAGGAGTACAGGCTTTGGATTGAATAGCGCTAGCTAGCAGACTGCCAACAGATCTTTTTCTACAGTTTCAGTTTCATTCTTTGCACAGCGTGTGTAGTTGGGTGTGCTGCAAAACACTTAAGCAGTGCCTGTGTTGCTCCTCAAAGAGGCTGAAGACCGCTAGGTCGCTTGGTTTTCTACGACGTTGCAGCTTTACAGGTTGTATCTAACAGTTTTGTCAAAGCGTTGTGCGCTCACCGCTGTGCACAGATGCAGCATCCCACTCCAGTGCAGGATATCACATAGCGTTCATATTTTTTTATGCGTTTTGCCATAACTCATTTAAATAAACTGCTAAATGACAGAAAACCTCAGTAGACGGATCTTTATGCTCCTCAGACTTGTCTTCATACCAAAATAAGAGATGCCTGGGAGACAGGCCACTTTGGACAGATGCGACCAGCATTGCAGAAGACAATACGTTAAGCCTTTCTCCCTCAATACAGTACAGTTATTTCAAAAATAGATACTGTATTTACTCGCATAATCATCGCCCTTTTTTTCGCAGAAAGAAGTTGGGGGGTGCAAAAATTATGTGGGGAAATTTTTCGCGAAAATGTACAGAGCGGAAAAGAAAATTAAGTAGTCACAAATCAGGATTCTCATGCCAGCAACTAACTAAAAGCTTCGAGAAGTACTACTAAAAACTTACCTTAACATTAAAACCACAGGTACAACAGAAGGCAAGATTTATTTCGACACAAATACAGTTCTCGCTTGCGGGTCTTGCGGGCATAGTGTTAGCGTTTGTCACTCAAAGGGAGCCCGCGAAAGCTTAGCATGCGACATCAATCTTCGGGTGATGACCATCTAACATGAAATTGTCCGCAGACGCCTCCTGACGAAATAAAGTTTTATCATCCATCCCAGTCTTAAGCACACCTTGCAAGGCCCAACGCGTCTTGGTGGCTTTCATCTGCAGGTGCTGCCGTCGCCAGTAGGGAACACAAAACTCGTTGACTTCGAGGTGCCTACCTGTGGCCCTGTTGTCGTTGTTTAGTGCATGATTAATCACTTTCAGCTTGAAAGCAGCCGTGTAGCTTTCGTATCACCCCATACCAAAACCACAGAACGAACACAAACTAACATGCCGCAAAGTGGACTTCCCATTTTGGCTTGGCTTGAATTAGATTGGGCCGTGCATTACTAGTACGAATAACGCCAGGCTTACGTATGCTATCATCAGTCGTCTGAAGAAGCAGACGACATTTCTGCTGCAATTTGGAGGGGGGGGGGGGGGGGGATTATGCAAGTTTGACGATCACATGAGTATGTAAATATGATAATGCATACTTTCGAAGAAAAAACAAGTGTGTTGTGTGTTTGTTTTCAAGCATTGTAAATAATTCCTTAGTGATGCCAAATCTGGAACACAATTGCAGAACAATGCATACCCTGGTGGCTGAATTGGTTCACGTTTCACTTTCCATCTTATAGCCAACCAAACTTTTTGCATCAAGTTTTATGTACAACAGAATGAAGCAAATTTTGATTGAAAATAACTTCATGTCATTTTGTTTTGCCCTTGGGAAACAAGCATTGCGAATCCCAAGAACGTAATCCACTCGAAGCAGATTTGAAGCCAGTATCATTCCCATGGTGGTACAAACGTCGCTGAACGAGCCTGTACACTAGACTCAAGAAGAAAAAAAATCGAGTATTTGGGGAGTGTTTCTTACACAACAATAATCGTCATCTACTCCGAGTACTTTCCTCACGTTATCACCACGATTCTTGTAGTTCGCAGTCACGAACAGTGTGCACACTATCAATGTGACATAGGATTCTTGACAGGAAAATGGCAAGCGCTGGGTTTTCAAGAAAGGAAACGTGAGCAAGACAGATGACGATAATTGTTATGTAGCAGAACTACTACTCAAATAATCCATTTTTTCTTCGAGTGTAGAGCCAGATTCCCCTCTAGGTATTCTAGTATGAAATTCTATGGCTTTTTCGCTTTTACTGTGCTGCCCTTTGCCATTTTGGTAAGGACTAGAAGAACTGACATTGCTAGAACGAAGGCCTCGGAGTTCAGCAGCGGAAGGGCGCATGTGCCGTGGCATCGTAAAAGAAGGTGGATTACCATTTAACTAACAGCAATAAAAAAGTTTAATGTTAACCCAAAAAGTTCAAAATACAACATAATAAGTGTCAAAGTTATGCAGATCCATCCATAAAATGCACAAAATTCTGATAATATTATATTGCTGGCACGCACAGCCCTTCTCATTGCGCGTCCTACGAGTAATATCAGCAAACAGACTAAGCTTCCAACCAATAAACAAACCATGATGCATGCAGCACATTTTTTCATGCATGAAATTTACACCCACTTCATAGAGCAGAACATTTTACTAGGCATGTTGGTGTTTGCTAACAGAAAGCTGAAGCAGGACATGTCTGTTCGCACTTCATAGTTACTTGGAGTCGAATCAATGTTTACTTGACTGACAACTTGCGTGCTACTGATATAACATAACACACACAAACTCGAAAATGTTTCATTGAAGTTCTTTGGTACATTTCATGTTCCCCATTTCCGCTTTAGTACAATAATGACAGTCATACATTTCTAGATGCACTGTAACTACAAGTGGCTTTAACAGTGCAATGAACTTGCCTGACGTATGATGCCACCATGAGAGAGCCCTTGAAATCCAGCAGGTAACTCTGGTTGTCAGGATTCATATATGTAACCTAGGCCAAACAGATACAACTTTAAATCAGAATAAACATTGCTCCTTTCTAACCTGTACCACTCGACCCTTCACACTCTTCAAGCCTTTTGCATCCATTTCTTTTCAAGGTACAATGTTAATCTTTATTTATATTAAGCAGCTGCACAAGTCTCACAGCTATTAGGTAGGCAGTATCATGCAATCATGCAGTTAAGACAATCGTGCAGTTAAGACACTTTATGCCTCTTTTTTTCTACATACATAATAGACTTCATGCTGGTTTCAAGTGTTAAAAGCCTACAAGCCTCTGATTGTTGGTGTCGTTTGGCTTAAGACAAAACTATGAGCTGATGTTAACAATTTAAAAGCATATGTTGCCTACTGAACATTGTTACTGCACATTCATATTATCTGTGTCCAGCTGCCCATCCATCAGTAAGCGGCCAGTATCCTTATATGTAAATAAACATAACATAAATAAGATATTTAATTTACAAATACTTTCCTTTCCTTGGAATACCTCAAATAGACTCTCAGTAAATGAAAATCCGTTGAACGGAATCGCTGCTTCGATGAAACCACCGCTTTTTACATGAGTGGCTTCGTACCTGAACGCTGTATCCCTAGTTTTTCTCAGTAAATGGAACTCCTGTTAAACAGAAGATATTTTTATGGTCCCTTCAGGTTCCATTTAACAAAAGTCCACTGTTATATCTTTCACTATTAAAACAAAAGTTACACAGCGATTTACCATGCCCTCCCAAAAATGAAAACGTCGACTTATGAAGAAGCAGCAAGAGAAACTATTGCATCATTGCTTATGCTTGCAATGTTGTAACCATGAGACCTAGCTGGCTCAGGATGGCCTGAACTTAAGTACTGATATGTTTTTACAACCTAGGCTAAGAAAGCACAAACAATGAAGAAAGAGCAAGAAACCAAAAATGAGCAGAATAGTTTTTAATCATACAAAATAGTGAATTGTATTTTGCCTAATATTAGTAATGATGTAGAGTTAAGAAAGGCAGTAAGCTACCAGTTCTGACCAAACCTGCTGTCACCGCATGTTGTGCAAGCTTCAATTCTGCTAAGCCGTGGCAAACAATTAAAATGAAAGCATAAGCTAAATGTACGAAAAAAACCTGTTAGCACACACGCACTCAAAATGAATTCAAATTGCACATACTTAAGCAAGCGTCCCTCTTAAATGGTTTCACCTACTTCACCTTGTTTGGGTGTCACGCTGGAAAGAGCATGACCAAGTATAGTGCTCAGCGATTCAAATGCAATGCTCAGCCCACATATTGGTAATGTTTTTGCTCCATTGGTAAGCACTAGAGACACCAAGCTGATACACTGTGGTACACACAAAAAAGTAAGAGCCCTTGTTATGCCCCATGAATGCATTTGACTCTCCAGCCATCCCTCCTAACAGTGTTGCAAGAAGCACTGAATGGCATGCAGACCAAGTATTGCGTATCAATCACTGAGGACTGTACTTTGAGATGTATAACTATAATAGTGTATCTATTAAAATCCTTTTTAAGTAAACTTACTATCACAGCGAACTTGGCACTCTGGCAATGGTATCTAGCAATACATGTTTAATGCAATACCTGCTGTCATCAGCATGTTGAATGCAGCACGCTGAGACCACCTCTGAACCTAAACAACGTACTAAAATTTAGACCATTTTTGTCAAAACGTCAAATGTAACTCACATTTTCTAATACACGAGAGCATCTGTCAATCTTTTTCAGCTTCTCCAGTTCGAAGTCTGTTGGGCTTTCCAGGACTGTGACCCCTTCTCCAAAGTAGCTGAGGCATTCACTCACTAAAATGAAAGACAAAACAATACTTATCTTAAGTGGGCATACCTAATGAAAGAAAAAATGTCTGAACTGAATGAAACATCAAAATTACCGATGTGCTTCAACTCTGGTCATCAAGCTGCCTCATCCAGAAACACCAAATCAAAATGTTTTCAATAGGTAACTCAACATTTTTTATGCAATTACTACATTAATCGCACAAGAAATGTCAAAATGCAAATTAATGGAAAGTTATTTTATTAAGAATGCCTTCACACTGAAAAAAATTCAACCTCAATTAGTTGCTATTCTATACCAATTTCATCTTCTTTTCCTTAATCGGTAGATTCACCGAAATCACTACATTTAGTACAAGGCAACGAACAGCGACGTCATTCTTGGGTGAAAAGTATTTCACAGAACAGCCCGCACGGAAGGACAACTTCGTATCTGTCGAAACAGACGCGCTGTGCCCTAAGGAGCTCACACCTCTAGAACAAACATAGATGTCATGAGTGGCTGTAAACAAACGAACAACGCAAGCGATCCCACTAGACGGCATCTGGCCAATAACAATGCGGCGCCGGCCTAGGAGAAGTCGGAGTTGAGGGAAAAGAGAGGAGCCACGTGAATAACCACATACTTCACTACTTTGCGAAGCTTTAGGGGCTTTAGATCTAATATTTACAACAAAATTCTTTACAGGAGCGGCTATCACAGTTTAAACCGGTATTTCTGATCATAGATTAATATCCTTTATTTGGGATATGTATGGTCAACGTAAATCAGTGACAAAGCCAGCAGAAAATGTAGTAAGAGATTTCAATCGAACGGATAATGTTGCTGTAATTGATTATTTAGAAACGAATCTTACCACATCTGTTAGCGATGTTGATAGTGCCTGGCAACAACTCTGTGGTATTGTGGACTTTTGCACAAATAACTTTGTACCGTTTAAGAGAATATGCAAGCGTTCACATAACCCATGGATAAATGGTGAGATTATACAGATCAAAAGAAAAATAAAAAGGTTGGGAAAAAAACATAAGACTAGTATGCAGTATTTTTCGAAACTCAAAGAAAAGTTGTAAGAGAGTGTTAATAATGCTAGGCATCAATTTTTTGATTACATATTACTGGAGTTCATCGAGTAGGATCCCGGTGAATTTTTACACTACCTTAAACAAAGTAAAGAGGAAGTATCTAAAATACTAGTTGATGAGGTCTCAATAACTGCTCCAGCACTAATTGCTGATCATTTAAAAAAATACTTTCAAAGTGTCTTTTCCGAACCACAGTATTATGAACTGCCCAACCCGATACCTTTAATCCCAGATGACGCACTCATAACTCGTGGAGGTGTTCTGCAAAGGTTACTTCAGGCTAATCCTAAGAAATCTCCAGGGCCTGACGGCCTTGGTAACTCATTCCTACGTCGCTATGCAGAACAAATTATTGACTTCCTTACTGCCCTTTTTAATGCATCACTCAAAAGTGGTGAGATACTGGCCCCATACAGATATACCTCATAGATAAGTTATAAGACAATACCTCATAGATAAGTTAGAATGTATACAGAACAGAGCTAGTCGATTCATAGCGCGTAATCACAGCTACCCGTCCAGCGTAACACAGATTAAACATAGCCTTGCACTCGAGCCACCGAAAATTCGCAGCGACATCTCACTTTTATCACTATTTCACAAACTCATCCACACCAGCATGATGCCATCTGTTCACCTTAATCTAGCACATTGAACTTCGAGCAGACTACATAACACCTTTAACTTATCACGCATGTACGGCAATACTAACGCTTTCAACCAGTCGGCTCTTCCTCGAGCTATTTGTTTGTGGAATGATTTGCCAGATGATCTTGCGTCAGAACAAGACCACACAAAGTTCTATCATACTCTTAAAAAATACGCACCAAAAACTGCTCTATCGCATCTTCGTAATCATCAGTGTTTATAGGGCTGTTGCCGATGTTTTTGTACTATTGCTAGGTTGTAGTTACTGTCATAATAGTTTTTTTTTTGTATTTCACCTTCACATACTGTAACTCACTTTTCTAGTATGTATTTTGCTTACATGTTCATAAGTTGAACTGCATTTTCTATTATATTCATTATTTGCCTATGTATGTGTAGATATTATGTATATATATTTTTCTAACACATTATCTGTACCGCCCCCCTTACACAATGCCCCTCGAGGGCTCTGTAAGGTACTGTAAATAAAAAAAAAAAATTGGCGTACAGCTCGTGTTGTGCCGAATTTTAAAAAAGGTGACCGTCATTCCTAGTCAAACTATTGTCCCGTTTCTATCACTATAGGAGTTGCTGTAAAATGTTGAAGCATATTATTGCCAATTATGTTAACACATTTTTATCCAAAATAATATTTTGACGTTATATCAGCATGGTTTCCGAAAAAAATATGTCTACGGTAACTCAGCTTGTGTCTACAGTGCATGAATTCGCACGGGTTCTAGACATATCTGGGCAGACTAATGTTTATATTTTTAGATTTTAGTAAGACCTTTGACAGGGTGCCTCATAAAAACTTTTGTTTAAGGTCGAAAATATTGGGCTACCTTCGGGAATTGTTAAGTGGATTCATGCGTACTTAAAAAAACGACGTCAATTTGTTGAGGTCAGGGGTTGTGCTTCTTCTCCATGTGTTTCTTTTGGTGTGCCACAAGGTAGTGCATTAGACCCCCCTTTTTATGCTTGATTTTTGTTAATTATTTAGTTAATGTCATACATAAGGACATATCTATTCGATTATTCATAGATGATTGTGTTGTTTTTAAAGAAATATGTTGCGTAATTGACCACGTCTTCAGAGATCTCTTACAAGTAGAGATGAATGGTGCCAAAACTGGGGCATGGAACTTAGTAATGACAAAACAGTTCTCCTGAAGATAACAAGAAAACTCGCTCCAAGCCTTTACAGTTATTGTCTACGCCAGTAGTTCTCAGCCATGGATGTGTCAGGGACCCCTTGTATACTGGTGGAAGTGAGGGGGGACCCCTTGCAGCAGACGGGAGGGTGGGAGGGTACGCAGGTAAATTAACACAACTGGAGCGTGAAACAGGTGCCTATTATTGCTACCAAAAGCATCAAACAAACGTGCCACATTACTTCATTTTGGACAGTTCATTAATACGTGGCACAGTCACGCTTAAAGAAAAATGCGGGTAAAGGTTTTGCAGATCGTAGAAATGGCTTCGCAAACCGCCATTTGAGAACCACTGGTCTACGCAATAACCCACTCAAAGAAGTAGAAAAATACGAGCACCTAGGAGTCACTTTGACGAAAACACTTACATGGTCAGAGCTCATTGCAAGCATATGCACAGCTGCACTTAGGAAACTGTGTTTTCTTCGAAGGAAATTTAAATGTTCCACGAAGGAGACCAGATTATTGGCGTACAACATTTGTATTAAATCAAGGCTTGAATACGCCTCGGTTGTTTGGGACCCTGAATGTAAAAAAGATGTCTTGCATGAAAAAGTTCAATGGAAGGCGGTCAGATTCACTTATAGCAAATATAAAAAGACATGATTCGCCAACACAAATTATGCAACTTAATGACATCTAAACATTAGAATCTCAAAGAAAAATTAACCGGTTAACGTTTCTACACAAAATTCTTTCTGGTAAAATTACAATAAGTTTGTTCAACTGTGTGACATGTCTACCTTCTAAAAATACAAGAGATAACCATAAATATTCACTGGCACCTGTTTTTGCTCGTACTACTGCTTTCAAAAATAGTTTTTTCCCTAGGACTGTTGCCGACTGAAACTCCTTACCAATAAGTGCTTTTCAATCTGAAGGTACTGAAAAAATAACTTGAAGCTTTTTTTTGTCTAGTTTAGTTTTGAATTATGTATGAATATGGCGTGTTGGCAGTGGCCGAGTGAATTATTTGTAGACTTTTGCTGCGTATGGTCATTGTTTATCTGCCGTAACACTGCTGGCTAAGAGCTCTAATTGATTAATTGATATGTGGGGTTTAACGTCCCAAAATCACTATATGATTATGAGAGACGCCGTAGTAGAGGACTCCGGAAATTTAGACCACCTGGGGTTCTTTAATGTGCACCCAAATCTGAGCACACGGGCCTGGCTAAGAGCTCTCTCTATAAGTCGTCTGATTATGTGATGTGTTACTGTGCAACTTTCTATTATTATTATTTTTTGTTTTGTTTTTGTTGCCACTCCTGCTAGGGCCTAAGTATAAGCCTGCAGAACCTGTAAATAAATACAACAAAATGGTCATATTTGATGCCGTGGCACCTGAGAACCACGCCAAGTAGCGCGGCCATTTTGGTCTCATTTGAAAGATGTATTCGTCTTTTGTCTGTTCCTAGCAAAAGAACGCTTTTCATCTAGCAACAATGCAGTTATCGCGAATAATGAATAACCAAATAGTTGCACATCATTGGTGCGTTTCTATCACGCGGGGCAGTTCCCGGTTCCCTATTGGATGTCAAGGAATTGGTTTGCTAAACAGTGGTGCGCAATTCGCCATTTTGTGACGAGGCTTAAGCGACGGCTGTGTGTTCGGCGTGATGGCAGGCAGTCATTGAAAGTTCCATACTTCTCATGCCTTCTGGAAGAAGCGAAAACGGCACCTGGGAGCATGCAGCATCTCACAAGTGAAACCCTCTGCCACCGAGAACATGGAAAGCTGGCTGTGCCAACGCTATCACGAATGCAACTCCCGCGATCACAGACGCGACAGCCGAGGTCATCGATCATACGCAAGATATGCTCATTGGCACTACCCTGGTTTCCGACCCTGTAAAAGTGGCCCTTGAATGTTGTGCGAGTGACATTCAGAGAGACCTTTCGTTGAGGCCAGCAACACAACGCAAGTGGTCTGTTTTTCGAGACTCGGAAGAGACCACGACGACTGGAACGCCGCTCACCATCATAAGCTTAGCAATAATCAATGAACTGCTCCAGTGTATGAAGTGCGGAGTGTGTGGCGGGCCTGGCAGCATTTCC